CTTTATTACTGGAGTATGCATACCAAATATGAAGTCTCTATCTCTTATTGTTCAAAAGTTATGGCCAAGGTTAAAGTTGACAACAGACAGACAGACAAACAGATAAACAGACAAACAGACAAAAAGACAAACAGACAGGACAAAAACAATATACGCCCGGGATCTATCGATCCGGGCGCATAAAAAAACCATGCCATTCTCACAGGTAAATACTAATACATAAGTTTAATATTCAGTAGATATGACCGTGATGACCAAGGTTAAATTTATTGAGACAGATGGACAGTCTGACATACAAATATACATATTTCTATATGAATTGGGTAAAATTGGCCCAGTGGTTCTAGAGAAGTTAAAAATGTAAAAAGTTTTCAGACAAACAGATGGACGACACGTCACGACAGACGTTACATGTTAAGGAAACCAGAAAAGCTCAAATGAGTGTTTTGAAAGGGTTAGAATATGGTTGCAGTATTTGAAAAGCTGTTTTTTTCATGCAGAGATATACATGAACAACATATTCATGTTTTATATTTTCTTTAGTAATTTGTTTGTTTGTTGTGAATACATCTCTCTTGGGAATTTTTCCCTCATATGGAGACACCACCAAATAATAATGAAGACAAGATGTGTTTGTGAAACACTGATGTCCCTGTATGGAAGCCTATGGCGAAGGTTGAAGTTTCTCAAATATATGTCAAACTCAAAGTTCAAGGTCAAAGGATTCAAATTGTTAGTATCAGAAGAAAGTCTTGTCACAAGGAATGCACATGTGAAATAAAGATATCCCTAGTAATTCCTGTTCAAAAGTTAATTGCCAAGGTTAATTTTTTTTAAGTGGTTCAAACTCTAGGGTCAAGGTCAAACATATTTATAATTGTTGACAGTTCACAATGAATACACATGTTAAGCATGAAAGCCCTAGCACCTATTGATCAAAATTTAGGCCAAGTTTAAAGTTTGGTATTTTTCTTGTAAAAATGTGTATCCTAGGTCAAGGGATTTCAGGTAAAAATTAATGGTACCCAAATAAAAGGTCTTAATTGTCACAAGAAATAAACCTATAAAATGTAGAAGCCATTTGTGTAGCCCATCCCACTTAAAACTTATGGGCAAGGTTATAATTTCTGCAGACAAATAGACAGACATAATATAAACACAAGAAACAAAATATGTATAATTAGTCAAATGGAAAAAAATATACTATTTAATTGGAATCACAAAATAGATTGTTATTTCAGGGACAGGGAGTGGGTAGGGAGATTGGAATCCCCCCATCCCCCCCTGGAATTTGCTTTGTTATTTAAACAAGACTATATACTGAAGCAAATAAAAAATGACTTTGGACATCCTCCCCCTAACTGAGAAAACATTGACCACACTATCATTGTTTTGATTTGGTTTATTTAATTTCAGTTTTTTTTCTCCTGCTTGTCAGGAAATTCTGGGCTGGAAATTTTTTGACTGAGATGTGAACCCCTCTCCCTACTCCCGAAAAAAAATTCTGGATCCGCACCAGTATTGGCAGTAACCGAATGTCACATCGACAATGGCAGATAACTTCACAATATGAAATTCGTCTAGTGTGCCATGCGATGATCTTTGACCCTTTTTGAACTTTAACCTAATCGTTTGGGTTTATTTTACTCCCCACTATACTTAAACTTGTACTTACCGACTGCCATACATGTTTGTCTCGTCAACTTCATGAAATATAAATCCAGTTAAAACACAAAATGAATCAATCCAATGCACACCAGACTGCAGCCATTTGTGCTAATTCCATTCGACAAACCTTCGTCGATTCCGTCACCTTATCAGATGAAGTGGGAATCGGCCGAGGTGTGCCAAATGGTGTTTAATCTAAAAATATGATAATGGGTGACGCAACGTGATGTGATGTAGAAATTTACATGTTAACATGTATAGTACAAGAACAAATTTTAAATTAATTCATAACAAACGATGTTTTAACAAAACTTTTCCATCTAGCCTATTCCAAACAGTATGTGCTGTGTGATTGTGGTGTCGACGGGGGGGGGGGGGGGGGGGGGGGGGGGGGGATTAATAAATTTAAAAAGGTCCTATTATGAGCAAAACATTTAACAAAATCTAATTTACATCATTAATAGAATTCAAACTGGTATATAATGAATTAAGCATGTAAAATAAATATAAGAGGTTCTGAGTTATAGGTCACAGGGCCGGTCTGAGAATTTCATACTCAGTTTGATGAATACATGTAAATCATTGGTGTCGGAAGCAAATTCAAAGTGGGGGGGCTAGGTGTAAAAAAAAATTTTTATACCTTCTAAAAAAAACCTGACAAGCAAAAAAAAAAAAGAAAAGAAAACGAAAACATCAATTTCCCAAACACGAAAATCCTATTTTGGGGGGGGGGGGGGGGGGGGGGGGGGGTTGAATTCGAACTTCAGTACCATAATTTTGTTTTCTAGACACTACCTTTTTCCCATTTTTTACCTACATGTATTCTGCCATGTGTCTGTGGAAAGTGGGGGGGGGGCTAAACCTATGAAGCAATGTTCAATATCTATACTAAGTATATGTTTGGAAAAAAAGCACCGGCCCTAGCCCCCCCCCCCTCCCCCAGTGCCGACGCCTATGTAAATTATAGAATTATTTTGACTTTTTCCTTGGAAAGCCGGCCAATATGTAGGAGCGTGTTTTAGAGGCAAACACCTTAGTGCGGGTATTACTGTCTCATGACAGCATCTAGTTTTTTATATAGTTATGAAAAGTAATTCAAGGTTACATGTTTTTCACTTTCAACAGGCATGATACAGTTTTAAGTTTTAATAAAAATAAGGATAAGTGGTAACTGAAAAAAGTTTGAAACTACCCGTAACCCCCCCCCCCCACTCTACCCGCACGAAACAGAATTTCCAGGTTTAGACAATGGTCAAATTCTCCTCATTTTATTGTCAAGTTTTTTCAGGTTGAATTTTTTCTCTTTGATTTAGCCCCACCCCTTTTTTTTCAATTTTCCAACACCGTTGAATCATGTTTTCCTGAATTTACAGTATCAACATTTATACAAATCAATCTATCGGTTAGCCTCAATATAGGCCTTCTCGTGCGCATCACTTTGCACAGCTTTTTAATTTCATGCAGTCATTAATAATTAGTTTAATTTTAATACAAAATTAACATTATTTGTAACTCCTATTGATTTGAAAATGTGATTTTACAACAACTATCGGAAAAAGAACGTTGAAATGGCTCTATCAACGTCACATAAAAATGTAATTTTACCATAATATGGCAATTGAAGAGGTATTTGGCTTCATGCAACCAGAAGACCAATCGAGATGGTGAACTTTTTTTGAAATTTCACAATTTGGTTACTTTTTAGCCGGGCTTATTGCTCAAAGAGCAATTACCGGCTTATGTGATCCTGTTCAAGGCAGGATGTTGACCCCATAGTCGCCATTTTAAAGTTACGTGCAAAAATATAGTTCTTACTCTCAACCGCTTTTGAGATAATACAAACTCCAAATAAAGCAACAAAAATTTATAAAATAAACATTAGTAGTAATGACTTTGAAAACTTCATGAGTCAAAGAACATAGTTCATTAGTGTAAGGATTTTTGATAGCCAGTGTTACCGTAGTTTTCTACACAAAGTCATATGTACAAGATGAAGCAGGAGAGGGAACCAGACTGGCCTGTTTGTTTACATTCAGCTGCGGTACCAGATTAATTTTGATTCTGACAAAGTCGGTCTGTGGTATTAGGATTGAAAAACTCACTGACGGTGTCTTATCATTAATAAGTTTTGAAATAATTTTTTCTCATCAGAATATAAACCTGATTCATGTAAGAAATCCATTCTACTCTGTAAATGAGCCCAGCTCTCTGTACTTCTGAGTACTTTTATTACATTTACTTCATTTACATTTGAATAAAAAAGAAATCCCTATGGCAGAAGTACAAAAAATATTGAAAAAATGTTGTAATTTGGCAATTTTCCAACAATTTCCCATAGGGTCCAATAGTAATGTTTGACAACATTTAAGATGGCCCACTAAGAAAACGGGGTGGTAACATTCAATATTTTAATCCAAAAATTAAAAATAAAACATTAAAATTGAATTATCAAAAAATTATCGAAATCCCTAGGGCAGAAATAATTAGACTCTGTCTCGTTCAGTGACAAAAGAATATATAGGAAAATCTTTTAAAAATCTTTTGCTCAAGAACCACTGGTCCACAAAAGATGAAACTCATGTGGAATTATCCTCAGGTAGTGTAGATTCAAGTTTGTTCAAATCATGACCCCCAGGGCTTGGGGTGGGGCCAAAATGGCCTACCCAAGTTTTACATAGGGATATATAGGGATACCTTTTAAAATTTAAAATTGATTAATATTTATATAAATGGAATCATCCTCAGGTAGTGTAGATTCTAGTTTGTTCAAATCATGAACCCCTGTAAGGGGGGGGGGGGGGAAATTCAAGCCCCCACCCCCAACCTCAGTAAACTTTCAGTTCTGATCTGATATGTGCTTTTTCCTAGCCTATGTGTTCATGTGAGCACTGTGGCCCAATGGCGGCGGGTCAAAGGAAAGCTTTATGTCAATTAATGTTGATGCAGTTGGATAGCTCTGATCAATATCTATCAGCATATATATAAAGTTTGATGAAAATATCTTGGACAGTTTCTTTGAAACTTAGCTTTGAACAGAGCTAAACGCAAAGTGTGACGTCACGGAAGGACAGCTATAGAAGGAAGGACGGAAGACGGACATGACAAACACTATATGCCCCGGCCATATTCATGGTGGGGCATAAAATCATCATGGTCGTGTTTCATCGGGGACCTTTATATTAAAGTTATTATAGGTCCCTGGTTTCATTATTAGGTCAACAAAGCAAATATTTCAGCACAAATATATCAAGTGACCTATTCAGTTGCTTATCAGAAATTGATATAAAGTTGTTTAAATTCAGCGATGCTATTTATTATCTGAACTTCCTTACCTTCATCATGTTCATCCCAAGTTGACGAACAAAAGCCACACTCAGTGAGGGTCCAAGTACTACGGCAGATTTTATATGTATGTATCCTGGTATCAGCCGAGACGATATCTGGCATCACAAATATCTGCTTATTTAGAACACACTAGAATTCCTTTGTCAAGCGATAGAAACATAAAACACAAATATCCATCATCCATATACGACAACATTGAATAGCCCAAGCAGAAGCACATGTCTGACATGAACATCTTCATCACGTTCGCCATTGTTTTCAAATTCCGATCCCGATGCATATAACTTGCTAGCATGGCTAAAGTACACTCTATATATACATCTACATGTCATATATGTATGTAGCATAAGATACGATGAAAAAATTTAATGTAATCATCTTTATTTAATTACATGTACGGGATATAGGGCCCATTGATTTTTTTTTTTAATTTTATTTTTGAGAATTTTAACTGCTCTCAGCCGGCGCCCCCCCCCCCCCTCTCTTTAAATTGTCAAAGTTAACGTAAATCACAGCTTCCTCTAGAAAATGTAAATTATATGTCTACGGTAGGCCTCATTCTTCTCTACAAATTCTGTATAACCCAGGCGCTTCCGGGGGCTTCGCCCTGTGCACTGGGGGCCTAGCTTAAGGCGTTCCCCAGACCCCTTGCCTACTTTTGGCGCCCCTCTAACTTCAATTCCTTGATCCGCGACTGCAGCTTACTGCAAACTATCAGCTGCTTGCTGCTAAATGCCACACATGTTTGGATAATTAAATTTTCATATTTACGTTAATATTTAGAATTGTCCAAAAAAAAAAAAATAGTCATGGATCCAGGATTCTTTTCCAAGAGGGATCCACCCCAGTAAACCTTAATCCAACTCATTCCTATCCTAGACGAGAAAAATTATTTTTCGTCTTGGGGTTGGAGTTATGTTTTGTATCTTCATATCTATGACTTTCATACACATTAACTTAACGCATATTTATTTATTTTTTTTTATTTTTTTTCGGGGGGGGGGTGCCCAAGGTCAGTTTTAGTTGGTTTAGTTTATACATGAAATGACTGTAAAAATTATACATGGGTGACCCCCGCCCCCCACCCCCGTAGACCTGTACATGTGAAACGTTATAACACAAAGAGATAAAATATATTGGTCAATTTATCCATTTTCGTAAGTATTTGAAAATCTGATTTTTTTTTTCAGCCTAATTTCAGTTTAAAATTCCTAAATCCTCCAAATTCTCTTATAATTGTAAAATCTACGCACATTTTAAAATTCTCAATTCCCTTCCACTTTTTCCATCTACATGTAGCTGTTTAAAAACTTGTTTGAGTGCAAAGAACCATTCATTAATACTTAATATTCTAAAAAGCAATGACAAAAAGTTAATTGTTCTTATGTACAACTCCTTTAATAAGGGGGTAAAAAATTTATTAATAGAAAGGAGACTGAACATATCATCAGATTTTCAAATTGTTGCAGAGCTGTATTAACAGACCGGAGAGCTACAGTGCCATTGAAAAAAAAAACTATATTTATTGCGCACGTAATTTTTAAGTGCGTTGTTTCTCGATTTATTTCTCCATGTTTTTAAGACTTTCATCTAAAAATATTAATAACCGTTTGTTCCTAACGTATTTTTGTACTGTTCCCACAATAAAACATGCCTAATAATGAATTGTTTTAACAGCCCTCCTGGCCCTCTATTGAGATCATCAAAAATTTTGCTGAACTGCCATTTTGGTTTGTAGGATATTTCAGTATATAAATATTATGGTGGCATATTTCTGCCCCTTGTTTGCAAGTTATTTTTCTATCAAATATGTCGGCATGCAAGATAAATATGTTGACATGCAAGATAGTTATGTCAACATGCAACATAAATATGTTGACATGCAAGAAAATTGCAATCAAATAAGTATTATGAAAAAATCTTCAAAAATCTCAAATATCGCCCACATGTGACATTCAACATGCTAAATGCTACTTATTTATGTTAACATGCAAGATAAATATGTTGACATGCAAGATAAACATGTTGACATGCAACTTATTTATGTCGACATGCAACTTATATATGTTAACATGCAACTAATTTATGTTGACATGCAACTTATTTATGTCGACATGCAACTTGGTTATGTTGACATG